TGGACCTCCCTTGTGCTAGCAATAAACAACTTAATTTTGCTTTCTGTTTTGTCAAGAGCTTCCTTAAATTGATTTGAATTCATGATATCATCACCACACATTACTCTTTGATTAGCGGTTCTCTTTAAACTTCCACCAACTGCATCGGGAATACCCTTTCCATGAACAGCAGCTTGGAAATTCCAGGATGCACCTTTAAACCCCATGTTGAAGATTTCAGTGGAGAGCAAGTAAAAGTTATTCTTTTGTTTATATTGGGTGACAGGGCGATCGCTGTAGATATGAATATATGATACATTAGGGTTTTTGCTTTTTATTTCAGCTAATACTGGTCGTACGTAGGTCCAAACAGCTGCTGGTCCAAGTTGGAGTGACTCAGATAGCGTACAGAATGTAGAACCCTCTGCATCATCCTTTATGAAATATATGCCAGTGTGTAGTGTTATCTGTGGCTGACTAGCTCCAAAATGCATACTTTGAATCTCTGAGTGCATTTTCTCGACAAAGTTCTCAGCATAATCTATGTTAATTACATATTCCTCGTCAGTAATTGTGTGTTTGATTGTCCTGTAATGCTGAAATTGATTGTAGATGTTGAAGAGATGAGTTGTTAGACGAGGTTTTAAATATTCATTTATGGCTTTCAATTGAGACTTGAGAGTCCCTGCTACATCCCTTTTCACCACAAGAGTAACCTCTTTTGTTTCACCTAATTTGAAAGTCCTTTTCTCCTTTCTTGTTGTCCACTCCTTCCATGTAGCTGCCACATCAAGATTTTGTTTAGTATTCAAAGGTATAAGGCTCGGTGGTTTTTTTTTTAAAAATGTTTTGCATGCTCCATACATACAATCTTTCTTATTTACATTGCACACAATTTGCTTGGCCAGTTCCAGCAAGTCCTCAGATTGGAACACTTTGGTTTTGCTTAATCCCTCTGCAAGCAGACGTCCATTGTCACAAAGTTTACACAAACAAGTGTCCCTGTCCTTTTCGGTTGGAATAACAACCCAAAATGGCCTCAGAAAACTGTGTAACTGATCCCATACTTTCTATCTTCTGCCTGATATTTATGATGTAAAATTTTCAGCATATCCAGTAAAAGTCTTTTTTGCTTCTTTATCCCATTCTTTGTTAATGTAGATTTAATTCTTGGGATCAGTCGTGACACATCGTCCCGTAAATAGAAATTGAGAACTGTAGCTTTCAGCCTCTCCGTCAAGGTCCCCTTCTTTCTGCTCTCCCTCTTCCTGTGGGCATTGATTATTTTCACGGCAAATGTCTTGATCTTATACTTCTTCAATATGTGTCTTGTTAACAATGACCTGACATATTTTTCTCCTTTTTCTGGTCTTCTTTTAGCTGTGATAGCAATGAATGATGAAAATAAAGAGTCTTGCGTATATTCTTTTTAGATTGTCCCATGACATTTCTTGTTTGTTTCTGTGGCATGTTTTCCTTACAAGCAGGTTCCTGTTTTTCTTTACATCTGCTCAATCTTTTTCTGTACATTTCAACTTTTTTTGTTGGAACTTTGATTTTGGCAGTTTTCTCTGCAATCTCCCTGTAGGCTTTGGTAGCAGCTTTTGCCTTTTTCCTGTTCTGATGACTTGATGATTCTTGAGATCCAGATGCACCAACCACTGGATTATGCCTTGGGACTTGATCTGGTGACGGAGGAGGAGTAATTATATTCTCTACTAATTTTCGGCGTTCCTTCAATTGCCTTTTTTCTGTCCTCCATTTCTTACGCAAGCTTCTTTTTCCCCGCTCTGATACCCGTGCAATATGCTTTGGTTTTCCTTTCTTCAAATCGTCTTGGTATTTTAATCATTCTTTTCTTAGATATTCTTGTCTTCGCTGAGGATCAGCATCGCGTCTCTGCCGGTAACGTCGTTGCTTCTCCGCAGCACTCAAAGCCATGATTTTTTACCTGGAGGAAAATAAAATGCCCATTATATAATTTGCAATGAATGTGAAATAAATACTTCTAATTTGATCCTATAAGCTTTTGTTCCTTTGTTGTTCTATTTAGAAATACTCAAATATGATAATTGTACAAATACTGCTACATATAAAGATATAATTTTACTTAATTTCTTTCCTAACAATGTGAACAAAGTCATACCAACATATATAAATTACTCATGTTGGTCAATGTGCTCCTTTGCTGTTACCCTTTTATAGACAATTATTGTTGTAAATACATACATTCTGATTTTTCTTTTTATTTCTTGGAAGATAAAATTAACATAAAGCTGTTAATAATTTTCTGTGTTCAACAACATCTGTCCTGTTACAATATCAATTGAAATAACAATTTTGGGATAGGTGTAACTTATATGAAATAACTCTCAATAACGAAGGCAACCAAGAAATGCTTGATAGAAAAATGTTAACACTTTGGTACAATAGATAAGAATAGACAATCAAGAAAGAAATGTTGTTTTTCTGTGCTGTTATCAAATGAGTTCTCTGCTGTTACTCAGTACTCTCTGTCCCGTTACTTATAAAATTAAAGCAACAATATCTGGCCTATTATCATAATAAATACCCTTAACAAAGTCAGCCTCAGCAATAACTGTAACTAACTACTGCTTCATTGAAAAGTTAGAAAGTGTTTTTCTTCTTGATTGGAATAGAGACAGCAGGAAAAACATAAATTTCTGTGCTGTTATCAAATGAGTTCTCTGCTGTTACACAGTACTTTCTGTCCTGTTACTACTAGAACAAAACCAACAATATCTGGCCTATAATAAGCAGTATGTTATACAAAGTCATTCATAACCATAAAGACAACATGCAACTGTTTAATGTAAAAATTGCAAAGGGTTTTTGTATGCTGTTTTATGTAAAGACATCCGAAAGAAATTATTTCTCTGCTGTTACTTATCTACTGCTGAATAGTTTCTGTGCTGTTACTTTCTATTTTGAAAGGTCTTTTTTTTTTTTTTTTTTTATTAAATATGAGAATAAAAGTTGAAAATGTTCCAAACAAATAAGATGATATTGTTGTTACCAGTTACATATTGATAAAAAAATGTTATTTTCAAAAGTGTTTGTTTTAATTCTTCGAAAAATTGTGTCTGTTTTACGTCCTGTTACTGTTTCCATTTCTTTCCTGTTACCAAAGGTTTCTGTACCGTTACATTTTCGAATAGATATAGATGAAACTAAAATGTTTTCTTCTTCAAACGGCTAAATTGTATTTGAAAGTAGACAAACAAGCTACTTTTTTTAAATTTACATTGTTAACCAACATACTGATGATGTTCATGTCTAAAAATATAACATATGAACAAAATGTTTCTCTGCTTTTACTAATTTTTTTCTGTCATGTTGCTTTTTTTTTTTAAATAACAACACAGAAGATTTTGTGTTAAATCAAGATTACTCTCCAGACTTATACATGTGAGCAGGGTGCAAACTTGCAGTTTCAAAATGTTTAGTTAAGGCTCCAAAATCAATCACTTAGACTTAAAAGAAAACCTAAACCATGTTGTTAAAAGTGAATAACAGCACAGAGCCTAAAATTGTACCAAAGAGATATCCTTACCTTTGATGTCTTCTGATTGTTTATTCAAATCACTCCTCCTCAACTTTTTAGAATATTACACAGGAAATGATGCGTTTTGAAAGGATTCTGGGTTATTGTACTCAACTTGTTAATAGTGCTTCAAATGAACCAGAAAGTGTCTGGTAACAGGACGGAATCAAAACCATGTGACAAAGAATTAAAATACCAAAAATAAAGTGAAATCTTTTTTCTTGATTTTAAATCTATTTTTCAGACTCAAATTTCAATATTTTAAAAATGTAATTGGTTCTATAACCAATGAAACAATTTTTATAAAGATACGAAGTTGGTCTCCGCACCTTCGGACAACACTCTTTTCACAAAATGCTAATACTGAAAATGAGAAATTTCTTAAAAATTGCCGTTCTTTTAAAGTGAAAATGTGTTTAATTAATATATTACATGTGAAATATTATTTTAAAAAGTTCTCATTAACATAGATTGAAGAGAAACAAATATAAACAAGTGGGAAGTGCTCGGACAGGAAATGTGACAATTTCAGATATTGACTCGTATAGGTCCTTTACAATGTAGGACAAACTGCGCTTTTCTCTAACATAGCGTGTGAAGAAATTATTTTCTAACATATGATCAGTCACGGATATTGACAAAACATCCCATCGTTGTGTCCGCCATTGATAACCTTCATTAGTTTTCTTTTCTATCTTTATACATATCTGTTTTGTTTACAGTTATATCAATATTGAATTTTCCTAAACATGTTGATGTTGAGTCAACCTGAGTACTGTATGAAAATAAATGGCAAGAAAACAATTAAATTTCAATGTAGCCACTGTTTCACATCCTTCCTTCCCGAATCTATGGCGCTTACATGACACAATTGATACGATGTTCAAGGGCTTGTTGCCAATATACCAATTTCCGTGCAAGACGCCAACAGCTAACGGATAAACTGACAACACAAGGGTTTGGAGGAAGGTTGGTGAAGACTAAGGGGAGATTGATAGTCACCACAATCATTAGGATATTCTCTTTTTCCTTGCATGTGGATCCGTCTACATAGTATGCTCAGTATGTCTGGTGGTTTGATTGCTGTAAACTTTGTACTCATTTAAGAACAGACATTACGTACATGGGTTGACCAAGGTTTACATGGCGGGTGTCGTAGATGAAGCAGAAGACGCTTACTCTTCCAGAACACTTGGTCTTATTCTCCTTGTGCTTTTCAATGGCCTCTGTGTAAATATCTCCAGTAATATTTCCCCTTCGTTTCATAGATTTTAAGTTTGAATATAAATTGTTTTAATATGTTGGTATTTTCCTGTTTTATAGCTGACGCGTAATACACAGACTCCCAAGTATAGTTTGTACTGCGTGTTCTTTTTTAACAATCAGTAGCTGTTTAAAAGGGCAGGTAGATGCTGCATCAGATTTCAATCAACGAAGATGGAATGAAGAACAAAACTAGAGTTAAGTGTTTTATTTTTTTCAATGCACAATAAACACATATTGTATGATACAATAAAATTAATAAATAAAGATATTTTATATCGAGATGACATGCTGTTTTACTGGTTATGTTGGATTTAATGAACACAGGTATACACACCATACAGAAATGTGAACATCACACATGTTTCTGTATTGTGTTGTAGAGACAAGCATTCCTAGATTTTTGCCAATATCTACCCGGGGCTTATTTTCCATTTGTAAAGGCATACCCTGTTTTGACTTTAAGCAGAACTGTGTGATTTATGAATTCACTGAAATGTATAATGTTAGGAGGTACACACACCAGCTTTTAAAGAAATGTCAAGCTTTCCTGACAAATAAGAATGACTTTGGTGCTTATTTCTAGAATATGATTTCTTCATACAAAGAAAGTTTTTATTGTTGCACATATGTTGTACTGAGTATGAACAATTCGTTCTTTACAATTCAGTTACACTTCAATGAATCCCACATCTTGCCAGTAAAATGAGCCGAATTCCATAAACGAAGTTGAATCTAAGTCTTGTTCTGTCAAAACCAACTTGTATTAATCAGAAGTGGTTGCACTGACTCCAGGACACAGAATAAACATGGGATCTCAAACGTGAAGCTGATCATAACATGAAATACAATACATATTAAATCTTAAATTGTGCATCTGAAAAATTTCTTAACCATTTTTTTTTACTTCAACAATATATCTTGAAAAATGGTACTTTCTCAGCCTAGGAAATACATGTATGAGATACCATGCAAACAATGTTGAATCAGTCAAGCGCTGGGATCATTTGGGAAGTTAACATGAACAGGGGAGACAACTCCCATTAAAATTCAACCTTTGAGCCAACCAACCTCTAACAGAATTTATGCATTGGGCAGAGCATCTGTTGGAGTTTTGTTTTCCTTGATACATTTAGACAGTACCATGCTTCCTATAGAACTGTTCTGTACCACTGTAACTGGGAGCATTTATTGGAGTCTGTACTCAAATGTTTAAACTGAAAGAGATGCAATAGTGATGACTCCATGACATGGCCCACTGATATGACCATCTGTTAAACCAAAAAATACTTCGATGATGGTGTTGTCCATTCCTCAGCGGAATTAAATCATAGTTTTCTTGCCACATAAAATGATACAACATACATCTACAGGGAGTACATGAAACACTTTGAACAATTATGAAGCAGTTCAGTTGGAAAATGTTATTAAAACATCAATGTTTTGTAAAAGGAAGCTGTTTAGGAGGTACATCATGACTAGATCCTTATATCCCAGTACACTGGGTTACCTCTAAACCTGTCACTAACCAGTCTCTTGTTAAACCATTATAGGTATTTCAGTGCTACAGGAAACTTGTAAAAAAATGGATGTTGATTGAGACATCAGTGTAGAAGTATATATATGTGAAAGAGTCACATTCTTATCCTTTTAACTGAAGTAACCAGGAAATTTTATATCAGTTGCATTTTCGTATCTGGCCAGTGACAAGATTTGAGAGGTTGGTAATATCAAGGGAAGACACCTCAATAGACTGGAGGTAGAACATACAATTTATAAACAAAATCTTTCTCTATGGGGTTTGATAAACAATTTACATGTCAAAAAACTTGGACTTTAAGCACTTTACACCCATACAGAAATACATGAACGATGCAATTTAGTGAAGACTGAAAAGAAAAAAATGAAATAAAAGAGAACTTTACTGGTAGTTATGTTTAGAAAACAGAAATTTTTTCAACAAAAAAAAAAAAAAAAAAAAAAGAAAAGGCTAATATCAGTTTTAGCCATGTGTATAATTATCTCATAACATGATATCAAATGATCTTCATTATTTTAACAGATTATAACTAATGGAGAATAACTTTGGATGAATGATTAAACATTCTACCTTGCTCACAGATAACACACACAGACATGCTATTTCTAGCCTAGATTTATGTAAATATTTCCAATGCTGTCTAAGGTATGGAGTCCATACTTTTCATTGATTGGTAGAAGTCATGTATCCCACTTTTTTGTCACCTCATTATGACAATGCAGTAACAAAGATGGTAGGACACCAAACTGTATCTCTATGAAACAGAATACTTGTATAGCTGTATATATCTCTACACTTGAGTATATGCATGTTAAAAAAAACCCAAATAACATTGGCCTCAACCTTACGAGAACAATGACACCCATATTGCACACTTAAATATACTAATGTATTACCTCTTGAAATTTCAGTAAGCTTAGATCCAAAGATAATAACCATACAAAACCGAATTGTTAAGTTCAAATGGTCTAGCAGATTTTGAGTGGAATTTCCTCAAAACTGAACTTTGATAATGATATTTTGAAACTATCTGCCTAATTTGAAGGCATCTAAGATATCTGGACAGAAAGATTTCAGACAGATGTTACTTTGGATGTCCTGACAGATTTATCACGACAGCTAGCGTAGTTATTGACTGTAATGATACATTGTACCATGCTCAGTAACCCTAATATTACAATTGAACTTGGGTTATTAATGATACGTAGTACTCGAGTTACCGAGGGACTTGCTGTGTGTTATCTACACTAGTAATATTGTTCCAAGTTGTGCAGTTGCCAGATTTTGAACAGGAACAGTAATACAAAGGGAGAGCACAGATAACAATATTACAAATAGAATTAATTTTCTGAAATTTAGTAAGATTTACATGTACAACACAAATCTATACAACTGTCTGGAGATGACGGTTAAAAAGATTGCTAGCAGACCAACACTTAAACTATGGTATGTTATTGCCAAAGTGTAGTCCATAACTACGTTCAGCAGAAGTGTTTAAAGAAACAATTGGATGACTTCACAATGGAGAAGAAAATGTCACTACTACATACACAACGTACAAGACTTATAGTCATGATGTCAACATATTCATAACAAATGTACAACAATAGCAATAAAATCCTTCAGGCAATATGCTGCTGACACTTCATTTTGATTTTTGTTCTCTCTACATTGGATATATTTACATCTGAATGCTATATACAAACAATGATAAATCCAATGTACTTTTTACATATTTACATATCTATATACAGGGAGTACTCGTGATGTAAACACTCGCACACAAACAGCAGTCAGGGAAACACAGACAAATTCGATGATGAGTCGGATTCTCTTTATCTACACTGGAATGTCCCAGAGAAACCAATATAGCACAAAATTGGATGACAAAGTCGTATAAAATATTTATATCACACACATTGCACTGTTAGTGTCTAATGTTTCTATGTCCTAAATGTGGCACATTTCTATAAACATAGGAGATATTTCTATTAATACACCCTGTAGAATTTCTCTCTTGTTATACTTAAAACAATGTTGCTACTGACAGGAGAACACTTTTCCATGATTCTGTTTTAATTTAAAACATTGTCTCATAAGAAATGCCTGTCAGCTGACAGCTTATTGAGCATTGACCTTGTTGCCCGGCTGCCTAGTCCATTATCTAAGCAGGCTATGTATCAAGCTCTATCAACACTTAGTGACAGCTATAGAAGTAAACTCTATACATGGTACACATACCATGCACACTAATAAATCTGGCTTATTCTATATCACAATGTTAATGCATTGTCTCATCAAAGAATTAAGTTTAAAATTGACCTTTGACAAAGAATTATTTACCAAGCACTATTCTCTGAGTCAAAGATACATCCAAGAATAGTGCAGCAATTTTGCAGCATTCGAAGTAACCACATTGGGTGCTGTAGAATTGATACTTCAAACATAGGAACCACAACTGGTGTTGATCAGTGGTAACTTCAAACGAAGGAATCATATCTGGTTTAGGAACCACATCCAATGCTGTAGAATCGATACTGCAAACATAGGAACCACATCTGGTGTTGGAACCACATCCAATGCTGTAGAATCGATACTGCAAACATAGGAACCACATCTGGTGTTGGAACCACATCCAATGCTGTAGAATCGATACTGCAAACAGAGGAACCATGTCTGGTGTTGGAACCACATCTGGTGTAGACAAAGTTTACCTGATTACTGCAAACAGAAATCTCCTTAGATACCACATGATAGTCCAATAACAGGATACACTAATGTCATAATGTGTTATCCCAACGCAATGATATCATGTCCCGTCCTTTAACAATGGTTCCATTTAAAAGACTGCATCAAGCCAAGCCCTAACAAACCAAGTCCTACAGGTCTTGACTGGGGCTGGTTACACAGGGAACATCGGAAGTGTTAGCCGTGTTCCTTCAGCCATTTATACACACAATTCAGTCTATCTCAACTAGTGTTGGTCAGTGTTTTGAAATGTATTTCTAAAACTTTCACATCATATGTGCAAACTAAAAATGAATAAAAAAACTACATAATTTCTTAGAAAACCATCTCTGTATGCTTTAACTCTACCAATCCCCACATCAGGTAGAGTAAGAACAGTACAAATACTTTTTTTTCTGTGTCTTGGTTACATCTATATGTGAATTTCAGGTTCTTGTTTATATCTGGCACTATTGATGTTGGACTGTCTTGGTATGCTGGAAGACTGATATGATGTGTATATGATATCTGTGTAGAATTTATTAATGTTTCCTGGCCTTTAGGCCTGTTGGACTGTCTTGGTATGCTGGAAGACTGATATGATGTGTATATGGCATTTGTATAGAACTGACCAGTTGTTGTTGGTCAGTATCTGTCAGATTGTCCTTGTATGTTGGAAGTAAGATTTTTTGACTAAGAACCGGTACAGGTGTTTTCCTGCAAGAACAAAGGCAGATACATGTACCTAAGTAATACTCATCACCTGACAAAGTAGTATAACAGATGAAATTATTCTACATCATTTATCAATTATTTGAAAATGTCAAAATTGATTTGTTTGAGAATGCTCACACATTAACAGCTGTGATGACACTTTTGCACTATCAATTAAACACATTTATACCATAGGTTTTACTCCATTGTTATTTTTTTTAACTCTATTTAAATTTGCTTACCCATAATTCCCTAATCTTTTTCTGCTTTTCAAATTCATCACACCATTCCTCAAATTTCCTTTTCCATTCTGTTTCTATGTCACCATTGTCTAGAAAATTAAAGATAAAAGAACGACTTTAAGAAATAATATGTTGATCAGTTTGAGTAGTGTGTATACTAAAGGAAAAACCAACAGCTATGTACAGCTCTTTTCTATCAACTGATGCAAAAGATTTGAATCACACTAAAATAACAAGCCTATTTCTAACAAGTTTCCCTCAGGTATTAGCAGTTATCTCCCTTGCTACTTTGCACATTAATATCACCAAAATATCAAGTAAAGTCAGTAATTTATATACAATCAAACATCATATACCTGTCATATTGATTATATTAGAGAGAACATTGCCCGTCTTGTCCATGGTGCTGTAAATTTAATATCTTACCTTCTAAAACATTTAGATTGTACTCCGACAAAACATTGCCCATTTCGTCCACTGCACTGTAAATTCCTTTATGGTCAGGTTGAATATCAGTCAAGATCAGTGAACCTTTGGGGTCAACGTGAAAATGATCTCCACGGCCTCCAAAATCAATGTCAGTAGGGTTTGAGTCCGAATTTTTCCTGTACTTCCATTGGACGGAGCGCTGTATGGTACATTTCATATAGGAGATGTCCAGTGCTATAGAGCTGCCCCTCGTTCTTACCTTATCATCCATAGCTAAAACATAAGACCAAACTCTAACCTGTCATTCACAGACAGCACATAATCAGTAAACTAAACTATGGGTTCAAACTAGAACTAATTGCAGCAGAACTGATTTTGTGTTTTTGTGTACCTACATACAATGTACTATTTCTTATGTACATTGTATATACAGCTAAAAAAAGTAGACATCTATATTACCTCAATGCATGAAAACAATCTGAAGAAAATAATAATGTTTGTGTAACAAGTCTTTAACTTTTTCTGTGTGACAAAAATATCTAATATTTCTGTAGTTTAGATTAATAAGCATCCAAAATGAAAGTTGAAACTGATCAGGAAAAAGGGACTTGTTTTGTTAAACTTTGGAAATATAAATCCTTGTGTTTTGACAAAAGGCACAACAAGCCTGTATTTCTAACCTTGTATCCAACGTTTGTCAAAAATTGAATCAGCGTTTATGACAAAAACATGTACACCATCACCACTCAAATTGGGCACATCACATAAATTCTCACCAATTTCCACAACAAAAAGCTTCTAAACCAACTCTAAACAGTGACAGTTATGACGTAATTTTGTTTTTCCTCAAAATTTGTCATGCTTTGACCTAGTAACACCTTCCCACCAAATATCCTACTTCTTTGACTTTTGGTTTACCAGAAGAAGTCTTTTACAGGTTTTGATCATTTGACCCCTGTGACCTTGAATATGATTCAAGGTCATTTCTTTTTTCTAAACACTGTCAGGTTAAACCCAGAGACCTATCAACCTTTTGGTTAATGAGAAGAAGTTTTTAAAAGGTTTTGAAAAAACCTCTGACATTGAGTATGGGTGACAGATGCTCTCCACACCATGGCATAAGCTCATTCCGCCTTTCCCAACAGTCGAGCTAAAAATGTAATATCAAACTTACGTGCTTCTGGGGTATAACTGTCAATATTCTTGTAAGTGTAATAGCTTGGTCTGAAATTAAAAATAAATCATATTACAAATATCAACAAAGTCTATCAATGAACATTATTTCTGATTCAATGTTATTCTGGGTCAGAAATTCTGAAATCACCAACAGCATATACTATTGGCTTAGTAGATGTTTTTATGAACTTTATGTTTTTTGTTCACCAAAATATCATACCACTTAGCAAATCTCTCACTAATAGACTAATCAAATATTGTAATACAGTGGATGATGGTTGTAAATGTAATTAACTTGCTCATTACAGTTGTAAATGGAGATAATTAACTTGCTCATTAAAGTTGTAAATGGAGATAATTAACTTGCTCATTAAAGTTGTAAATGGAGATAATTAACTTGCTCATTAAAGTTTTAAATGGAGATAATTAACTTGCTCATTAAAGTTGTAAATGGAGATAATTAACTTGCTCATTAAAGTTGTAAATGGAGATAATTAACTTGCTCATTAAAGTTGTAAATGGAGATAATTAACTTGCTCATTAAAGTTGTAAATGGAGATAATTAACTTGCTCATTAAAGTTGTAAATGGAGATAATTAACTTGCTCATTAAAGTTGTAAATGGAGATAATTGACTTACTCATTAAAGTTGTAAATGGAGATAATTAACTTACTCATTAAAGTTGTAAATGGAGATAATTGACTTACTCATTAAAGTTGTAAATGGAGATAATTGACTTACTCATTAAAGTTGTAAATGGAGATAATTGACTTACTCATTAAAGTTGTAAATGGAGATAATTGACTTACTCATTAAAGTTGTAAATGGAGATAATTGACTTACTCATTAAAGTTGTAAATGGAGATAATTGACTTACTCATTAAAGTTGTAAATGGAGATAATTAACTTGCTCATTAAAGTTGTAAATGGAGATAATTGACTTACTCATTAAAGTAACTTCTGTCCATTCTGATACATTCTCCAGGAACTATTTTCCAGGCACAGAAGGGATCATGCGCACAGGTGTCAGTCTTATCGTATCTGCTACAAGTGACTATATTAACTTGCTTGACTGCAGTGTCAGATCCAACATAGATATTCTCTCCCTGAAAAGCACAGGTCCTGTTTGTATATCAAAGTCTGGTGTACTTATCACAACTACATAGATACTCTCTCCCTGAATACACAGGTCCTGTATGTATATCAAAGTCTGGTGTACTTATCACAACTACATAGATACTCTCTCCCTGAAAAGCACAGGTCCTGTTTGTATATCAAAGTCTGGTGTACTTATCACAACTACATAGATACTCTCTCCCTGAATACACAGGTCCTGTTATCTATAGTCTGGTGTACTTATCACAACTACATAGATACTCTCTCCCTAAAAAACAAAGGTCCTGTAATATAGACTTTTAAACTTACCTTCAGTTTCATTGCCCATATTGGTTCAGGAATGTTAAAGAGGTTGTATACACTAGATATAATGCCCTGTTTAGAACCCTGTTCCAGGAATATCTTGTAGATCTGACCTTTACCTGTGAAAAAGGAAAGCAAAATATAGACAAGGAACACCACCATGTTTAAGATTTTAGTGATTTAGATATAACAAAATTCTGAAATCATAATTAGAAAGTCAAACTTCTGTGAGATCATAACTCTAAACTACAGTTTGTGAAACGCAGGTAAGTAGAGAAAAGTTTTCTTCTTTACAGAACAAATTTGTGAAACGCAGGTAAGTAGAGAGAAGTTTTCTTCTCTACAGAACAAATTTGTGAAACGCAGTTAAGTAGAGAGAAGTTTTCTTCTCTACAGAACAAATTTGTGAAACGCAGGTAAGTAGAGAGAAGTTTTCTTCACTACAGTACAAATTTGTGAAACGCAGGTAAGTAGAGAGAAGTTTTCTTCTCTACAGAACAAATTTGTGAAACGCAGGTAAGTAGAGAGAAGTTTTCTTCACTACAGTACAAATTTGTGAAACGCAGGTAAGTAGAGAGAAGTTTTCTTCACTACAGTACAAATTTGTGAAACGCAGTTAAGTAGAGAGAAGTTTTCTTCTCTACAGAACAAATTTGTGAAGTGCAGGTAAGTAGAGAAATAATTTCTTCTCTACAGAACAAATTTGTGAAACGCAGGTAAGTAGAGAGAAGTTTTCTTCACAACAGTACAAATTTGTGAAACGCAGTTAAGTAGAGAGAAGTTTTCTTCTCTACAGAACAAATTTGTGAAGTGCAGGTAAGTAGAGAAATAATTTCTTCTCTACAGAACAAATTTGTGAAACGCAGGTAAGTAGAGAGAAGTTTTCTTTTCTACAGAACAAATAAAGAAGATTAGTCTAAATAACAAAATGTTTATCTTACCCAAGGACTTGGATGGTAAATGTTAAAACCCAACATTGGACTTACTTGTTGATGCAAAGAAAACAACTTCGTTTTCCATATTGATATCATGTGCGACCTCTAACTGGTGCATCTGTGTACCCATCTCATAGAATATTGGTTTCCCATTAAGGTGTTGAACTGCCTCGTCCATAAGGGGGTTTAACCGAATAAACGACAAAATGACATCAGACAGGTCCTTTGAATTATTATTACACTGAAAAGGTAAGAATACTGATGAACACGTTGCTGAAAATTGTTCAAATATCATTTTTATACTTTTACCTGTGTAGGATACTATCCTGTTATATATAAAATCAGCAAGAAAAACAGCAAAATATTTTAAACATTTTACTTTGCACAAAATTGAAATTTCAAAATCTCAAAATTTAGTATTAAAGGAGGAAGAAATTCTGAGGTGCTGGTAAGGTTACTGGACTATACAGTCTTATGACCTACATTTGGTGGTCTATTAGGCCAGTTAGCAGGTTCGTTGTCCGCTGGAAGCCAGTTAGTGTTAGTACTGGCTTGTGATTTAAATCTTCCCCTGTAGGACCTCAGAATATCACTGACATTGTAGGCACAGATAGCTGAGGCTGATATACCATTCCTGGGAAGAGAAGATCACATTTAAGATGTACACAAACAAACATTTAATTTCTGAGTTTAAATTAACTGGGTAGTTCTCATATCTAAAGATGACTTTATCATATTATGTATTTCTCTCCAAAATCACGTTTAGAACATACACAGAATAATAAAGTATATATAATTGATATTACATCATGGCTAGTTCTGTTCAAAATCACACATTTATTCCCTTGAATCCATCTAAGTGCTTTTTAATGTCTGTTGTGAAGTGTAAGATATGGCGTGTTATGTTGTACTCACACATTGGTAGTGAAGAGGCCATAGAATATGTCACCGACTCGCTCCACATCCTCTGTAATAGAAATACACTAATTAATATGGTCTCTAATACAATAACACTTAGTGTCCCCTGATATAGAAATACACTAATTAATACAGTCTCTAATACAATAACACTTAGTGTCCCCTGATATAGAAATACACTAATTAATACAGTCTCTAATACAATAATACTTAGTGTCCCCTGATATAGAAATACACTAATTAATACAGTCTCTAATACAATAATACTTAGTGTCCCCTGATATAGAAATACACTAATTAATACAGTCTCTAATACATGTCCCCTATATAGATAATACACTAATTAATACAGTCTCTAATACAATAATACTTAGTGTCCCCTGATATAGAAATACACTAATTAATACAGTCTCTAATACAATAACACTTAGTGTCCCCTGATATAGAAATACACTAATTAATATGGTCTCTAATACAATAACACTTAGTGTCCCCTGATATAGAAATACACTAATTAATACAGTCTCTAATACAATAATACTTAGTGTCCTCTGATATAGAAATACACTAATTAATATGGTCTCTAATACGATAACACTTAGTGTCCTCGGGGTAGATGTAAAATAACTGCTCAACAGACAATACATAGTGTCCTCGGGGTATATGTAAAATAACTGCTCGTGAGTATATGTAAAATAACTGCTCAAGAGACAATACATAGTATCCTCGAGGTATATGTAAAATAACTGCTCAACAGACAATACATAGTGTCCTCGGGGTATATGTAAAATAACTGCTCCAACAGACAATACATAGTGTCCTCTGGGTATATGTAAAATAACTGCTCCAACAGACAATACATAGTGTCCTCGGGGTATATGTAAAATAACTGCTCAACAGACAATACATAGTGTCCTCGGGGTATATGTAAAATAACTGCTCCAACAGACAATACATAGTGTTCTCTTGGTATATGTAAAATAACTGCTCAACAGACAATACATAGTGTTCTTTGAGTATATGAAAAATAACTGCTGGTAGTTGTCTAATTCAACTTACGGATTTCATCAAAATATGATGGAAAGTCACCAGGAATTGAACAATTAAGTCTGGACTTCTGGAATGATGTCCATCTGTTACGCAGGATACTTCTGGCTCCTCCTTGGTCCCTCTATATCAACAGAAAATATTACAGGCTCAATATCCCGACAACAGTACATAGGTCAGTCGATTCACAAGTTAGAAAAGTGATTAAAATGTCATCACTGAATTGTCCTGTCATTTGACTAAACATGACACTGAAGATTCTGAAATATCAAACGATCAATATGACATCTTTATTATGTACTGCAATATAAAACACTTATATACAATTTTATATTTATCTTTTCATAAAATTAACAGATAAGAGCTAGACCATCAATTTTTACTGTTGTTTTGATCTACACTTTTTAAATAACTTGAAACAAGACATCCTACATTATCTAATGTATCTTAACCAGAGACATATATAACACATGTGATATATACGTCTCTGTCTTAACCAAACACCTGTATAGTCCTGAAGGTGAATCATGAGATAAATAACATTACCTTGCAGATCTTGGCCACTCTGGAGAAGACCCGCTTCTCACAGTTGGTAAACTCCAATGCTACTTCTCTAAAGAAGATGTAAACACTGTCCCCCATGTCAAATGAGCCAACAAACTGTCCCTCTGTTATAACAAAAACAAGAATGTTTAGACCAGCCATTTTGAGGTTTTCATTACATGTTTTTCTAAGATACATGGCCAAAAAATTATTTTATTTCTTCCATCCGATTGAACTAAACAATAGAACTGGTTATCATCATTGTTGTCATCATCCAAGTGAACTTATTTACACTCATATTTACATATACCATGGGCAAGTTAAGATAATATCTATATGTTCTGGTATGAATACAAATACCAAATCTGTGTGTATGCTTTAATGAAACGGCAATGTATCAGGTTGTACAAAGGGAAATAACTCTTACTGTTTATCCAAATGTCATCATCCACTGTCTTCATGTAACCACTGGACTCCACACCATTGTCCATGAGACGTGGTCTGTAGATAAATGGCCGCCCAGAGGCACTCGTTCCAGAGTAGAGGGCTGACACATTGCCAGGATTTCCACTTTCTGAATTGCACAAGAGAATAAACAATGTTTATTTAATCAAGGCAGTCTTGACATCCCACCTACCTGGAAGGACATATTTCAGATTTGTATACTAAATGATTGTTTTTATTCACAGCATAAATGTAAGATTTCCTGTGAATATCACAGCTACATCAATGTTAATCAATCAATAAATGTATACATCATCATTGATTTAACTCTACAGTTCCTGATTTCTCATTGGTTGATCGTACCAACATAAAGCGCGGTTGAGTTTTGGAATGGATCATTGGGACACATGGACTCTGCGCTGATACCCTGGCTTTCCCTCGTCTCCATTACATCAATCTGAAACGGTTACAATTACATTGTTACTAGAAAAACTTGTCTAATATGTAATAAATCTCAACCCTACATAATGATCAAACAGATGGTCTAGGAGACTAACATCTTAAAGACATCTTCAGAGACAATCTTTTGTGTGTACAATTAAATACAATAACATCTTATCATGTGAGAACTGAGAGACAAATATATACTAAACCTCAAAAACTAATATCAATTCACTATTTTTCATTCACATAATGAATAACGTTACGGAGTCAACTGAAACATGTTACACTGTACCAGTATGTCAAGTACAACAGTTCAACATCGAATTAAAACACCTACTGTATATTTTCAATGATGTAATGAAAGCTGTATCATTAATTAGACAAGATAAGATATCATTTCCAGGACTAACCTCTATACACACAACCCTTGACAGAAACTGCACTAGTTTGGCAGTGTTATACTGTCAAAATTTCTTAATTCTTTCCAGGCCTGGAAATACCATTCTAACTCAAATCAAGGGTTGCATACAGAAGTACACCTTAGAAATGATACTGATATGGTTGATAAAGAACAACCATATGTATGTGTTACAGGGTACTACCTGAAACACCCATATGTATATTTAAACACCACTCTGGTTTTACTCTGGGCCAAAAATATGTGTGCAGAGGTCACGCAGAGGTCATGTGGCTTGGTATGGTGGATGGGGTTACTATGATACGGGTACAGACATACACATCATATATCAGTGGGGTTAAAACAACATGTAACATCGTATACCAAGGACACATGCATACAGCACTTTATATAGTTATAACAACCTTCCGACTTTTGCTCCTGAAAGCTGATGGCTAGACAGATGGTAGATGTAGACAATTTATCATAAAAATTTGGCAGTAAATGTGATCTATCTAATATTTAAGTTAGTAAATACTATTCAAAATGTCATTTCTACGAGAAAAGCTGATCCTTTACATGTTTTCTTTCCTTTTGAACACAACTTCTAGCATTAAGTTATCACATAATGGTAAATACTCCTCTTTAAACCAAACTTATGGATTAACAGAAATCACACACAAAACTTGAAAGATCTAAAATGAAAAAAGATGACATTGTCTGATATTCCTACAATAAAATTAGACACTGCATGTGTATTATTTTCACTAAACCCTTTACAGATTAGTAAACAAGAGCTGTTTACCAGCTGACTTACATTTAGGGTGTAGCCAAGAGGCCGCATGGCACCTGTCCCACAGAAATAGATCTGGTTTGGATCTGACGTCATATATCTTTCTATAAATCGAATATGATTCTGGCAATCTGGAAACTGTCAAATAAAAACAAGCGGTATTATAATTTGATGGTAATACCTTAAACCAAATGTAGATATTGTTAATTCTATTAAAGACAAGTGTTCATAGAGATGCTTATACATGATAAACAGACTCTAAATATAAGTAAGGAATAGATCCTTAACACTTCTTCTGTTACTCCTGACAAGGCTTTCTGGATAGATCCTTTCACAAGTTACACTGTATCTTAAAAATATCAGAACAAAATCCCTTTTCTTTAATTTGAATCAAAATGTTGTAAATATCACTGTCTGTATACAGAAATGTAACAGTCAACAACTGAAGCATATCTCTCATTAGATATTGGAGACCACTAATAAAACTCACCTCTGGTTTAGCGTCATATTTACAATAACTTATTTGAGTATCTGTAGCTAGAACTTTTAATTTGTAGTGATCCTGTAAAATAAAGAATATGGTTATCTGACATAAATCACATTAAAACATGTAGAGTATATGCAAATTGTAAAATGATTTGTTCAACAAAAAGCTCAGTTTGTCTGAATTCTCACCTCTTCTGAAGCTTACTTTCCAGTTTGTTAAGTCAATTTCTGAAATGACCTGAGGCTTTTAGTTATTGAGAAAAAGTTTTTGAAAGATTTTAACATATTTGACCCCTGTGACCTTGAAAGTGGAGGAAGGTAAAAATTTGTAGCCCTTTCTCAAAGCAGCTACTAGCCAATTATCAGTAACCTTGGCTTTGTGGTTAAGAAGAAGTTGTTTGAAGGGAAAAGATAAACCGAGAGTACATGCCTTGCTCACTTAAGCTTCAAGCTCACCTTCCTTAAGGTAGAGTGAGTTAATAAGATACAGTGTCAAACCATTGCCCTTGAGTTGATGGGTTCAGATGCATCAGTTCTCACTGAGATTTCAGGTTTCTTTGAGTTACCTCCCCTTGACAAGGTGCAATTTTAACAGATACATAGGTAAAGTATCAAAATGAACTTTCATTGACATTTAATATATATATATAAATATATGTAATCATAAAAAAATCAATGAATTTTTTTTTAAAGTGACTTCTATTTAAATATCATATTTAAAAAAGATTTCCTGATCCTTATCAAATTAAAAATTCAATGTACTGTTTGTTGTGACCCTATTTTGAATTCATCTTTCTTGTAGTGTTGTAAATGAAATATAACATTCTTTCTACATGAATTGTAGGATTTAATTATCCAACATTATTCCACATACAATTGTATTGTATTTATTATTAACAGTCATCAATGAATTAGCATCCAGATTTATTAAAAATAACCACTTTCTTCACTTGAATCCATGACACGGAGACTTTTGAGTTCAAATTACATTCTCCTACTGTTAAAATATAATTCCAAATACTTTACAGAAAGATATTAGATCCCTGGTCAAAACACACAACAATATTTAATACTTACAAATTTCTTAGAAATATTGGCTACATTCAAGCGAATTATATGATTCCTGGAAGAGAAAAAATCATAATATGTAAATACTTATTATGCCACACATGAAACACATAAAAACAAATCAAGTGTTAATCCTGAGCTATTAAATGATGAATGTTGAAAAGGAATAGTAAGATTGAGGGAGGTAACTCTTGTGACAATAACACCAGTCAGCTTTGAAGGAAGGCTGTTTTTCACCTTTATCTAAAGACATCATCAAGAATTCTGTACATTTGGACTTTGTTAACTAAACTGCTAATTCTAAAACTTTTGGCATCATATGTGGCAATCCCACTTGTAAGAACCAAAGTACCATTACTGTAAAACTGCTAAAAAACATGTCAATATTTTAATATTTCTTTCTTAAATCAATACGGAAGAATTTTAGAAAGGTTTTAATATTTTTTTTCCTAAATAAAAGGAAGAATTTAGAAATGTTTAAATATCTGTTTCCTACATTAATGGAAGACACTGTACATGTGTGTTAAACATTGATTTGTGGTCACATTATTGCTGATGATGTTGTTCTTCCTCATTTACAATCATTTAATCTAATCATTTACAATAAAATTCTCCCTGGAAAAGCTTTGATAGTTATTGGATAATTTTCAAACCAGGAAGTGTTTATATAATGTTAACAACTGGCTGTCTGCCCAACATTCACCACTAAATACAACCTTTTTAAAGCTGATGAGAAAGAGAATCACCACTTAGATGACACGAGAGGTTAGTTATTGTAGTTTATTTTGTAATCAGAGTAGTTATCACATTAACAAATCTACAGTCTTCGGTGAAACATGACCCATCACATTGTAACTGAATGATTAGAAACATAATGTAACATATTTCTTTATAAATATAATTCAAGATTAAAGTACTGTATCAATTTTTTTCAGGAATGTCGAGTAAAATTGATAAAGCCACCAGGTTCTAACCCTCCAAGCACTATCTACCTTATGTAGAGACCTATATGAAGCTGTAATCTTAGTGGCATTATTACACTAGAAATACTTACATAGCTCCTACAAATAACGAATTAGAAGCTTCATCTATATGTAAATATCTGTAATATAATTTCTCTGGTGCCATGATGTCACCCTCATAAGCTGTATCCACTTGAAGATCTGAAAGGACACAATAAAACATATATAAAGTTACAAGTTAGAGTTGGAGTAAGATAAATAAGGAATACACAAGTGTAAGAAATAAAGATTCACAAGAACTTTAAACATCACTTTTTGTTCCTGCTGTGCAGTAATGACACAGAATCTGCCTTGTTTCTCTAAGGTGTACCATAAAATGTAGAATATTTCAGGAATTCTATTTCTCTGGGTTTTCTTGTCACCTTAACTTATCATCTAAAATCTTAAACATACGTCCACTAACATCTCTCACATATCATCAGATTAATGATTTATACATTGGCCTTGTTAAGGATGCATGCTACCTTGAATGAAGCTTGCATCTCCCTAAAGAATGGTATATCAGTCAAAGAGACACAGATGTTATAAATCATATATGACACATACTTTTAAGAGGGATGCTAGAATGAATGTAATATTGTGGCTAGCATGCAGATATATGTGTGTTTGTGTGGGTATGTGTTTTTAAATAATAAGGGATGATAACAGTAACACATATCACATGAATTTCCCTAAGGGAAATAACTCTAAATGACTAGAATAATGTACGTAGCCTTCAGGCAGGGAACTCTTATATAAAAAAAAAAAATGTTGAAGTCTCGAAGCCAGTAACTTAGTGACAAGATGTTACCTAAACAGAAATCAGTGGGATGTCTTGGGTGATATCAAGTTTGTAGTCACTAGACTTCAATTCCCAGTTATGCATTATTTAACAAACACACAAACAATTTTTACAGAAATCACTTGATATTTTAACAAAAATACCCCGTGTATTCTTCTGATTGAATTCTTATTTATTATACAGCAAATAGACATGTATGTCAGTATTACTTTAGCACACATGTGTTGTCATGGCTGCCTTGTAACCATGGTGATAAGATTTTCTGCAGCAATTTATCAGTACAATCAAGTAAAAAGTCATGTTTTCCTTTCTCACAAAACATACCCATTATTTTTTTTTATCAAATCTAGGGCACATTAATTTAAATAAGTATTCTCCAATTCACCTATTTCAATAACAGGGAGATAACTTAGCTATACCACACATTTCTCAGACTTGAGGGCACCAATACTACCAGTATGTCAGATATACACCTATTACTGAAAGAAATCACAATTTTTCATATTTTTTAAATATAAAAGCCATTTATTCCACAGGTCCTCTATTTTTAGTTTTTTCCTTATCTAATTGGGTTTCCATGACTCAATTTATTTTTTGATTGATAATCTACTCCAAGAGTGACATGGTTTCAACAGTGTTTTCCTTAAAAGTTTATAGAATTAGCCAGTGAGGTTATTATACCTTGAAAACTTATAATACTTTGAGGTAACATAAGTACGAAACATACAGGGGTCACTAAGAACATAGAACTCAACCTTTGAGGCAAATGAACTTTTTGGAATACATTGCTGCATCCTGTGACCACTTGACGATGTCCAAGAACCAGTAGTAAGGTAGGGTTTGACCATATGAGATAACCTTGGTCCTGTCAGGAACACATCATAGCACTAGATATAGTAATTACATGGTGTGACCTTGTGAGGAGATTTAGGGCCATTTGTAAGGAGATTTTTGGGCTCTTTGGTAATTGTTAGATACACAGTAGGTACATGGTGTGACCCTGTAAGGAGATTTAGGGCCCACTGGAAATTGTCCGATACACAGTAGGTACATGGTGTGATCTGTTGGGGTTATCACAGTTCACACTGCTATGTGGCCTGGTTTCAGTTAACAAATTACACAGTAACATATGTTTTATTCATTGTACCCTGTGGATATGTAAATGTTTTCGTTATCAAAATTAACTTTGGCGTTCTGGTAGAGAAGAAAATTAGCATTGAACACAGACTGATTGCAACAGACCATAAATAAGCTGACTTGTTGTGTTGGCTTTGGAGGCACAAGTTGGTCATCACTGGTAAAACCATCAAAATTTTTACAACTAATATTACCACCAAAGTGAACTCAAGTTGTCCGCAGAAAATAACAACACTGTTTATTGGGTCAAACCTAGTATTATACTCACAATCTCAAAATTTTATCTTATATTTCAGAACATTTTCTCTGGTTGGTGATGTCAATAGAATAGAAGTTATCATAACACAACCAGTAGAAGATTAGAGTGTGACGTTTCGATGACTATACGGTCACTTTCTTCTTATAACACAACCAGTAGAAGAGTAGAGTGTGACGTTCCGATGACTATACGGTCACTTTCTTCTTATAACACAACCAGTAGAAGATAAGAGTGTGATGTTTCGATGACTACACGGTAACCTTCATCTTATAACACAACCAGTAGAAGATTAGAGTGTGACGTTTCGATGACTACATGGTCACCTTCATCTTATAACACAACCAGTAGAAGATAAGAGTGTGATGTTTCGATGACTATACAGTCACCTTCATCTTACAACACAACCAGTAGAAAATAAGAGTGTGACGTTTCGATGACTACACGGTCACCTTCATCTTATAACACAACTAGTAGATGATTAGAGTGTGACTACAAGGTCACCTTCCTCAGACAAATGACCAGTGTGGAGCATACTAGCAGTGACATACATAGTGTACCAAGCATAGTGGAATTGACTACAGCACATTGTTACCATGATGAGTATCTTTTTGGGTTATAATCTGTTTACCATCTCGTCTTACTATATTATATATGTGGTCCTTTTGTTACAATATATATACATTTGTTAACTAACAAAAGATTTGAGATATCTTAGGGATCTGTGAGAAGCAGGTTATTTCCAAGGTAAACAAATTATCTACAAAAATGGTGGGGAGTGGACATGTCCTGTAGGGTAAAGGTAAACAAATTATCTACAAAAATGGTGGGGAGTGGACATGTCCTGTAGGGTAAAGGTAAACAAATTATCTACAAAAATGGTGGGGAGTGGACATGTCCTGTAGGGTAAAGGTAAACAAATTATCTACATGTATGGTGGGTAGTGGACATGTCCTGTAGGGTAAAGGTAAACAAATTATCTACATGTATGGTGGGGAGTGGACATGTCCTGTAGGGTAAAGGTAAACAAATTATCTACATGTATGGTGGGTAGTGGACATGTCCTGTAGGGTAAAGGTAAACAAATTATCTACATGTATGGTGGGTAGTGGACATGTCCTGTAGGGTAAAGGTAAACAAATTATCTACATGTATGGTGGGGAGTGGACATGTCCTGTAGGGTAAAGGTAAACAAATTATCTGTAGGGTAAAGGTAAACAAATTATCTACATGTATGGTGGGGAGTGGACATGTCCTGTAGGGTAAAGGTAAACAAATTATCTACATGTATGGTGGGGAGTGGACATGTCCTGTAGGGTAAAGGTAAACAAATTATCTACATGTATGGTGGGGAGTGGACATGTCCTGTAGGGTAAAGGTAAACAAATTATCTACATGTATGGTGGGGAGTGGACATGTCCTGTAGGGTAAAGGTAAACAAATTATCTACATGTATGGTGGGGAGTGGACATGTCCTGTAGGGTAAAGGTAAACAAATTATCTACATTATGGACATGTCCTGTAGGGTAAAGGTAAACAAAGTAAACAAATTATCTACATGTATGGTGGGGAGTGGACATGTCCTGTAGGGTAAAGGTAAACAAATTATCTACATGTATGGTGGGGAGTGGACATGTCCTGTAGGGTAAAGGTAAACAAATTATCTACATGTATGGTGGGTAGTGGACATGTCCTGTAGGGTAAAGGTAAACAAATTATCTACATGTATAGTGGACATGTCCTGTAGGGTAAAGGTAAACAAATTATCTACATGTAGGGTAAAGGTAAACAAATTATCTACATGTATGGTGGGTAGTGGACATGTCCTGTAGGGTATAGGTAAACAAATTATCTACATGTATGGTGGGGAGTGGACATGTCCTGTAGGGTATAGGTAAACAAATTATCTACATGTATGGTGGGGAGTGGACATGTCCTGTAGGGTAAAGGTAAACAAATTATCTACATGTATGGTGGGTAGTGGACATGTCCTGTAGGGTATAGGTAAACAAATTATCTACAAAAATGGTGGGGAGTGGACATGTCATGTAGGGTAAAGGTAAACAAATTATCTACATGTATGGTGGGTAGTGGACATGTCCTGTAGGGTAAAGGTAAACAAATTATCTACATGTATGGTGGGGAGTGGACATGTCCTGTAGGGTAAAGGTAAACAAATTATCTACATGTATGGTGGGTAGTGGACATGTCCTGTAGGGTAAAGGTAAACAAATTATCTACATGTATGGTGGGGAGTGGACATGTCCTGTAGGGTAAAGGTAAACAAATTATCTACATGTATGGTGGGGAGTGGACATGTCCTGTAGGGTAAAGGTAAACAAATTATCTACATGTATGGTGGGTAGTGGACATGTCCTGTAGGGTATAGGTAAACAAGCAACAGAACCCACTATAAAACTAACTGATAAAAATATGGCAACTTTTAATTTGCCTGCAGTTCCTAAGACGTCAGACAGAAGACTTAGGTCACACAAGCATTTTATACTGCATTTGAAGGTGATGTTAGTGTCTAGCTGTTTACCTTCCTGTATAACTTCCCTATCTGCTTCTGGTGTGACTGATGTACAGTGTATCAAGGTTTCTACTGTTTTTGTTTCCTGACTTTTTCTGATCAGGATATGTATCAGGGTGTGGTCAGCTCTACCTGACAGTGTCAAGAAACTTCTACCATATAATTGGGATAGATTTCCTGTCAAATATTTAAATGAGTGCATTTACCCCGCACATCATTGTAGGTTCCTACAATTAAAATTGGTAACACCGAGGAAGTCCTTGTTCTATGCTGTGTATTTAACAGTTTCATGGCAAATTAGTCAGAAATATTGATTCTGTTTCAATCAATGCAGCCCCCAAACTTTCAGTAATTTGTTAAATGAAGATAACACAGATAAATGTAAGACCTTTTGCTGACATTTACAAAAAAGGTATATATGTGATTACTGCTTC